CGGCTTCAGGAGTGGTCACTTAGCGCTTACCATTGTGCTATATCCCCCAAACTCTCTCAATATATATATATATCTATATATATAAATATATATATCTATATATATATATGTATATATATATATAGATATATATATACACACACACACATATATATTGAGTCTGACGAAGGGACCCTGTGCACCCCTGAAACGTTGCCATTCTTGTAACAATATTGTTATGCCTCCATTAAAGAAGCTTTGCTTTGACACATTTTTGGTGTGCTGGTGACATCCTGTTACTTCATTGATTTGAGTGGCACCATTTACAGTCCCAAGGTGTGGAATTCAATAAGTAAGCAGTGATCAGGTTGTGCTTGTTTATATAAAATGTCCAACAGCTACAACAAAATAAAAAAAATAAAATACATTTACACTTTTCCGCAAAAAAAATCACTGCATTAGAGACCCAGAGTAATGATTGCAATATTAGGCACCTTCCTGTACTCATTTTTTATCACATCAGGAGAAACATGGTTGAAGTGCTCCCCTGTTGAATACGATTTGTATCATTATACTGCACTTATCTTGCTGCCTTGAGAAGTTGAGGTAAACATACCTGAATTTTCATATTCCTATTCCTGTTTTAAATGTAGCAATAGCCTTCTTTTCTTCTTTAAAGTGAAATTAAACCCTCAGATTTTTTAACATAAAACAATATTGTAATGTGTGCCTTACTGTAATCCATGGTTGTTTCCCTTCTCTTTGCTGCTCTTCCTTTTAAATCCTTATCTCTTCTCATGCTGGGTGAGAACTTCTGTTTTGCAGCAGAGTGCCTCTTCTCTGGAATGTTACATGGTGTCTGTGTGCGCGCTCCCGACCTGAGCCAGGATTACAGGATGACGTCCTCCCGACATCCACATTCCCGCCCACTTTATATTGGCAACAGCTGCTGCCCACATGTGCCGTTGTTTTACTCTTTTCTGCTGTGTTCTTGTGTGATCAATTCTCCTAATCAGAGCAAGGTATTTTTTTCTGTTTTTTTTAAACAAACTTTATTGCTTATGTTTTTTCAATGAATAGGTTGTTTATGAAAAAAACATAAGCAATAAAGTTTGTTTAAAAAAAACAGAAAAAAATACCTTGCTCTGATTAGGAGAATTGATCACACAAGAACACAGCAGAAAAGAGTAAAACAACGGCACATGCAGGCAGCAGCTGTTGCCAATCTAAAGTGGGTGGGGATTTAGATGTCGGGAGGACGTCATCCTGTAATCCTGGCTCAGGCTGGAAGCGCGCACACAGACACCATGTAACATTCCAGAGAAGAGGCAGTCAGCTGCAAAATAGAAGTTCTACCCAGCATAAGAAGCGATAAGGATTTAAAAAGAAGAGCAGCAAAGAGAAGGGAAACTACCATGGATTACAGTAAGGCTGGGTTCACACCTGGGCGTATCGAATATGCGATTCGCTGTAAAGAAAACGCGCGACAAACGCGCGCTTCCGAGGGCTACCTGGCTGTATCCCAATGGATACGCTCGGCAAATATGCACCAAAGAAGCTCCTGTACTTCTTTGGGCGTAGGGCGTTTTGCAGCGCGTTCCTACGCGCTGTAAAATGCCCAGGTGGGAACAATGCCCATAGGCAATCATTGTTTTTCACATGTTGAGCGTTTTACAGAGCGTAGGAACGCGCTGTAAAACGTCCAGGTGTGAACCAGGCCTAAGGCACACTTTACCGTATTGGTTTATGTTAAAAAAATCTGAGGGTTTAATGTCACTTTAACAAGGGTGGAAACCAAACACTGTGAGAATGTTTTTTTTTTATGTAACAGCATTTTTTGTAAGCTTTTTCATGTAGTTGTGTTTAGTCTTGTTACAACATTTTCAGTTTGTATATAACATGGGAGTTCAATACTGTGTTATTGGACAGTTCTGCTATCTCAGTTACAATGTAATAAGAAATATTATGTGTTTTTTTTACTCTATGTGTAAGTCGTTTACATAACTGTCTGTCTGCATGTCTCATTCAGTACCAATAAAAGTGATATAAGCTTCAGTATTCAGTCGTCTGCTGTGTGTTTGTGATTAAATATATTAGTGTAGGCATATTATGTAGTAAATACCGACAACCATTTTAACTAACACTGGGCTGAAAGAATAATAAAAAAAAGGGTAGCATGAATTTCCAGTGAATGCACACTCTGATTTTCTTTTGCAGCTTTTGACTTAATGTAAAAGAAAGAAGAGTGTCTGCTACAAAGTAGGGGGCATAAAAGGGAACCTGTTGTTTTAAATAAATATTTTTAATGACTTTCAAACTTATCACAAGCCTGTTCTTCCATATTTGTGTTGTTGTATCAAATATAGAGATTTACAAATTAGCCACTAGAGAGAGTTAAATGTCCATGCAGTCATCCATCTCTTAACAACTGTTAAGAAAAGCTGTTAGCTACAGCAGCCACTCAAGGAGAGTATAGTCTTGCATTGTGAGAAGGAGTAGCAGTTCACAAACACTGAGACAGATTTACTAGAGGAGTTAAAGCTTTCACAGAATAAACTGTGAGACTATACACTTCAATTATCCAATCATGTGAAAAGCAGATTCTTGTTTACCTTTTTCATTGGCACATAATTGGAAAACTGCAGTGAATATTCACACAATTATTGTGTGAAGATTTTCAACTACTTTAGTAAATGAGCCCAACTTTGTAGCACTGAGAAGTAGCAGGAGGCAGAGCCTGAATATGTAATGAGCAAATATGGTTTCCCCATATACATGTATAATTAAAAACTTTACATAGAAACTAGGTTAAAAAAAAACTATTATCAGTAATATTATTTACAAAAAACATTGTTGTCTTAAAAACATTGCAGAGGCATAGAAACATAGAAAGAAAAATAGTTTTTGAGTAAGTTTAATGTGTTCTTTTGGATTGCACCTGGTAAGCAGTTATAATGTTCAGGAGTCTGGATGTTCAAGACTGTTGGGGCTCATGGGTGGCTGAACCCATACAACATAAATTCCGATGTATTTTCCCCAACAAATGTTACGTACACCCTCCCATAGAGGTTAAAAGCTGTCTGTGGCTGTACGCTGGTATACACCATGTTGAGTAAACATGCGCATGTAAACGGGTGCCTAAACCCAAACACAGACTGTCCAACTAGAGTTGGACTTTAAGGCTAAACTCCAAATTGTTATGTATAGAAAATTTGTTTTTCAGTGAGCATGTAGGAGCTTCCATAAGAACCTATTTACAAACTCTTAAAAAACTCAAAGGACAAAATCAGATTGGGTTTGGCAGCTGTTGCATATACTGTATTAGAAATATTACCGAGACCTGGATGTCTCATTACAAAAAGGAAAATCGACATACAAGGTATATAATGGGATTCAATATTTTCAATTTCATGCTGGCCAATCTGCTTTTATAATATGGAGACCAAACTAATGTGTGTTTAATGGTGAAAAAGCAAGGGAATGAGCAGCAAAACAATCACTTACCTTTAACTAAATATGCCCCTTAATTTGCTTCAGTATAATAGATGTTTAATTTTACTTAGTTTGACTTCACCTTTAAAGTTTTGAACTTTTCTGAAAATTCTAAAATATATACTGAATAAATGTCACTTAGTTATAACAAAAACAATAAGTAAAGGTTGCCCGAATAATAACTTGACACGATGATTAACCCGGCTGTGTTCAGACAAGGTTATATGAATATCATTGTTATTCTGGTTCATGGTTCTCATCAAGTGCACAGCAGTCTGATGCTGAGCGATATTTCCAGAAATTAATGGCAGGTCATCATCACTGTCTTTCGTAAGATCCAATGACAACTCAGCAGACGAGGTTGGACTTCATGGCGCAATCATAACATTGTGTTAAATACCACTGAGCTTCATCTGTCATCTTTTCTAAGCTTTCAGTTTGGAGGTCTTAAACAGAACTGAAATTCACCTCATCTGACTCTGTTTACTGTAATACGAATGCTTATTTATCCATGTACAGTATGTACATTGGAATAGCCTTACATTCAACCATCATTCCTCAGTTTTGTGAGCAAGCATTATATAAGGCCAACAACATGGGGTGAGTGGCTTCAAGAAAAAGATTTTACAATAGGTACAAAAATTTTATTTTCTTTATCATCTATTAAGGGACACAAGAATGTAGTAATTCATGGGCATATGGGATGTTCAAAACCAATCTGAGGGGTGGGAAACAGCCACCGAGAAATTCAAGGGATGTGAAAATCTTACTAAAAGAAAAATCAAAGGAATCAGTGCCTGAGCAAGGCTAGATGAAAAAAGTGGAGATTGTAGTCCATCCGTGATCAGTGATGGACTACAACCTCATGTATAGTCTATCACGGGAGCAAGCTTGGAGCGGTGACTACTTTACAACACACACAGGGAGTATGGGGAACAAAAGTAGGCACCCTCCAGAAGGAAGGACAGTGTCAGCACCAATTCAGAGATGATTTGAGGATCTACAGCCAGGTGATAGGCAAACAAGATACATTTTTAGGATTGGAAGCCTGAGTTCGCTGCCACTTTAAGCATTCAGCAGCATTGTCGGACCTGCACAGAGAAACAGACTCGTTGGAGCTTTGTGGTCATGTGACCGCATAGAAAAAGCTTTCAGGTATTTACATTATGATTTATAAGAAACTGTATTCAGGCAATATGAGAGCATTGGGAAGCAGCATTTAAAAGGTGATAGCCTTTTAAGGATAAGGAGTTAAGGATATTAACACCTACTTTAAATGTAGGTGTCAGAAATCAATACAGCTGGATAATTATATAGGTTGTAGATTACAGAACAGATGAATGATCAAAGCTTGCCAAAGAAAAACTATATTAAGCCTCCAATAACCTTGGCAAGATGGATTGAAAATATGGAAAAGAAAAATAAAATATTGCAAACTCTAAAAGTGTAATGTATTGAGTAATAAGCTGTAAATAAAATATCTGACACATCCTGTACGCGCATAAATAACTGTGCCAAGTAATGAGGCAATGATCTGGTGGAAAACTGGGGTCTGAAATATTTCCTAAGTATACAAAAAAATCAGAGACCTGAAAACAAGTCTGGCACATTTGTTTTCAGCAAGGGGATTTAAGCATGCCCTCCCTCCCGATGGATCTTGCCTGACCCTTGTTAATGAGATATCCTGAACCGTAGGGCCAGGTCACACTAGAAACTATGTAGCTGAAATTTAGAGCAGCTACATATCTCTCCGCTTCTCTGGCAATTTCAAGCCAGCTACAGAGGTGCTGCTGTAGCTCACTACAATCTGATACAAATCACTGATGATCATTATCAGCAGCGTTGGATAACATAAGCAGCTGTGAAAAATTGCATTTTAAAGGTGCCATCTTATACATATGAGTTCTATCAGTTATATTAAAAGAAAAATCAATTTTATTTACAAATTATCATAAAACCCTTTAGAAAAAAAATTGAAGATGCATGATGAGACATGATTTAAAGGAGAACTATGAGGTGAGTGCTTTTCACTCACCTCATAGTTCTAGCCGACCTGTGACAATGAAACTGTCACAGGTCGGCTCAGTAGATCGGGAGGTGAGCGAACACATACCGGCGTTTGCTCACCTCTCGATCCTGTCACGGCTCTCTGCCGTGACAGGGGAAGGGCTGGATTCCCCCCTCCCCGCTCCGATCCTCTAGATAGGCAGAGCCAGCTGTCAGTCACACAGCTGGGCGGATCCCGGCACAATTGTCGGGATCTGCTGCGGCGTCTCAGTATACCGTGAGCAGTAGCTCGCGGTATACTGAGCTTAGGGTGACGGGAGGACGCTAGTTTGTGTCCTCCCGTTACCCTAAGGAGAACTATGGGGAAAAGCCTTAACCCCATAGTTCTCCTTTAATTCCATAAGAATAATGTGTACCCAACCACAAAGCCATATATGTGAGCCCCATTCACTGCTATTTCCACATTCGAAAATACATTTAAAAAAACATTGGTGTAATAGGTGTTGGGTGTTAAGGGGGGAGTAGGTTCAAAGGTATAGGGATGAGAGGGAAGGGGGGGGGGGGGGTCAGTGGCAGACATGAAGGTAGGTGCGTGGGTAGTAGAGGACAAAAAAGCAGGAGGGAGGGAAAGAAAAAAAAAGAAAGGTGGAGGGGGGGTAGAGAAGGAGTGAAGATGTGCGTCACATACCTGATGTAAGCCTCATTTGATGAGGAGAGCCTCCCCTTGCTGCTCTAGTTCACGCACCCCTGAGAGTGAGACAGAGGGTGGAGGCAGTGGCGTAACCAGAGTTCTGGGCGCCCGGGTGTAACGGGGGGGCACGGTTCCGCCGGCCATCTGCGTCCCAGGGTGGAGCGCACACATCCACAACAAGCCCCCCCACGGGATAGCAGATGGTGGTGACAGGTACTCTTTAAGGTGATGCTGCAGCAGACTCTCACAGTTCCTGTGCTATGCTTGCCTGCTGGATTTCCCACACAATGTGAGAGGAGCCTCCTCATGCCAAATCCTTACAGACCCAAAATTATTCCCTATTCATAAAGATTGCCAGAACATTTGCTTTATAATACATTAATACAAAAATAGACAGAGAAGCATAACACTGGCATAAAACAGCAAACACAACAACAAAAGTAATGGTCACCTAGGGCTCAGTCACACTAGATGCAGTGCGTTCCGGCCCGATTTTGGCCAGAACGCACTGCCTCGCATTGCAGCCGGCTCACTTTTTAGTGGGGCAGGAGGGGGCATGGCGGGCCATTCAAGTGAATGGCGCCGTAGCCACGCCCTCCAGCCGCAATGCGATCCGCCGCACGGGATCGCAAGGCATGTTGTGCCTGAGGTCCGGTCCTGTGCGGTGCGATAAAAATAGTGCTTGTAGCCTTTTGATCGCACCGCACAGCATCGGAGCGCTGGCTCAATGTGCCATTCCGATCCCGTGCGGCGGATCACATTGCGTCCGGAGGGCGTGGCTATGGCGCCATTCACTTGAATGGCCCACCACGCCCCCTCCTGCCCCACTAGAAAGTGAGCCAGCCGCAATGTGAGGCAGTGCGTTCTGGCCAAAATCGGGCCGGAACGCACTGCATCTAGTGTGACTGAGCACTTAACAAAAGTTTAATCTCCCATTTCCTTTTTCTGGGGTTTTGAAATCTTCTCACAAAAGTAATTTCAATGGATTATGTCCACTCTTGTTGAAATGTGTTGAAAATGAGCAGGGAAATTTCCCAAAGCAGCTTTAAAAAATGTCAGAGACGATATTTCACATAAAAACTGCAAAATATAAATAATAACATGCAGGGCAGCCATCAGGGGGGTACGGCCAATACTCATGTAAGGGGCCCGGGCAGCCTGGGGGCCCGCCCGGGACCCTTACATGAGTATCGGCCAACTGTGAAGAGCGAGGAGGCGGACGGGCCCCTGCAGTGGAGGCCTGGCGTGCAGACGTCACTTCTGGCCAGTCCGGCGGCAGAGGAGGCCTGGCGTGCAGATAAGAGGAGCTAGGAAGGAGGGAGGGGGATTCAGCCCTGACCAGCCTACCTTAGAACCCCTTCAGAGCCCACTATAGACAGTCTCAGGTGGGCTGTGCAGCATCTATGGTGGGCTCTGCAGGGTCACTCTCAGGTGAGTCCATCACTAAGCCGAGTCCAGAGCGTCACTAAGCCCTGAGTCCAGCGCGTCACCAAGCCCTGCATCCAATCAGCCCTGCGTCCAGGGTGGTGTGGGCGGTGTGGTGGCGGGGGCGGCCTAAAGCCGTGTAAAGGGCCCCAACATTTCTGATGGCTGCCCTGATAACATGTTGTAAACAGACCACATCCATGTGTAAATAAATAGGCATTTACATTTATTTTTAAATGATTTATGACTATTGAAGCTGAAGGTTACCCGGGATATATTTGCCTTCCCTGGTTCCTCCTTCCCCCATCTCATTCACATGGCAATTAAATGTTTAAATAGAACCTGTTTTCATTACATACCGTTTTTGACACAATTATATCACCAATGTGTTTCTCTGCCATGCAATGCAGGCAGATCATGGCTGGTGGGAGGGGCCAGCAGCATGCTGTACATAGCTTCCCGAGAACTTCACAGAACTTGGCTGCAGTACTCCTCTCAAGAGTCCTAAGCCCTGATGCAAGCTGTAGGCTAGCTCTTGGGGGAATGTATGCAAATATCAAAATATTTTGATGGGTGAATGTCATTCTGAAGGAGTATATGTTTCTAGGTAGGTTGCATTTCCATTCAGACTGCCCTAGGTAACACCCACATGTGATGCTGAGCCTCCATGTTTAAAAGAACTGAAATCCAATGAGTGAAAGAGGTGGGCAACGGTCAGTAAGACGGGGAGGAAAGCACTGAGGCAGACTCTATCTGACGAGCTGTAGCTTCTAATGCACATAAACACTAGCCATGTGCATTTAATTTCCTTCCAAAAGGATATTCATAAGAATTTAGTTAAATTCGCACGTTCATCCGAATGTGAACGAATCTGAATGTTCATTTAACGAAAAATTTGGATCTGTTCCAATTCTGTTCAAAATGTAACTAAATCGGACCTGTGACTGTTCTCTGGCCAATCAGATGTGTTTTTGGCTGTTGAGAGTTGCAGCACAGGCACGGTCATGTGACTTCCTGTTGTGGATTTTTCCGAAACGAAGAGTCAGATGGATACGTAATCCGAATAACGAACTGAATCGAATTTTGCATCCGAAATCCAAAAGAAATAAAAATATCAATCGATGCGATTTTTTTTTGGCAGAGGACTTTTTAAGAAGTTTCTCTGTGCTGAGCTTTAGATATATAATATCTCGCTATAAAACTAAGCTGATTATCGAATTATGTAACAGTTTGTCGCTGTATGTAAATCTAGAGTTTGACAAGGAATACAGTTGTATATTTGAAACGTACTGCAACTGATGACGTTTCATAACAGTGGTTTAAGCACTCTGTAGTTGTAATGTTTTTTCAATTGGTAAATTAATATGAATTCTTATTTATCCATTTTTGTATCATTTTTACAATTTATAATTAAACAAAGTGTGCATCTTATTTATAGGCAGTCGTATATGCTCTCCCTTCCAGTCAAGTGAAAATGTTGTAATACAATAATTAAAAAATAATAAATGTTTATGGCATGCATATCATTGCAGCTGAAAGTGACCATACTGGGCATGTATCCAGTGTCAGACTGGCACTGAACCTGCCAGAGTGTCCTCTATTGTATCATCAACATAAGTGCTTCTACAATATAACTGACACTAATAGAGTATGAAAAATACATTTTATTGCCTAATGATATCTTGCAGTTAAAGTGGAACTGAACTCAAAAGGTTCTATGTTATGTTAAAGGTGACATCTGAAAATGTTATTTGTGCCTAAGCAACACCCTGAAAAATGTATTTTTTGTCTGGTATTGCTTCTGTGCCTACAGCCTCATAGTTGTATATCTGCTGCCTCTGACTAGTCTCAGGAGATCTGGGTGAGATTTGGTGACCTTCATCACTGTGCTGCTCACTGTTCTCTTTGCTGAAGAATGTCAGCGTTGTCCATCTCCGTGGTCGCCACCGCCGGGCCCCTGCTTCCTCTTCCGTCCCCGGGCTCCGCCTCCTATCCACGGGCCCCGCCTCCTCTTACATCACTGGCCCCACCTGCTCTTAGATCGCTGGCCAGTGATGTGAGAGGAGGCGGGGTTGCTGTTAGGCAGGCCCCACCTCCTTCTTTAGCTGCAAAAGCCGGTGTAACCGGCCTATTCTGCTGCATCTGCTGGCTGTCACTGACACAGCTCCGCAGCGGCTGTGAGGGGGAACGTTCTCCTTCACAGCTGCTGCTGAGCTATGTCAGTGACAGCCAGCACCCGAGAAGCCATAGCGACCCAGGCGGCCCACACGGCATTTAGTATACGAACTCCCTTTGATCTCCTCTCAGTCCCCGAATGCAGGAAGTGATGTATATTACATCACTTCCTGCATTCAGTGTCACTCTCCAGCTACAGAAGCTGATGAAGCAGATCTCTGCTTCATCAGCTTCTCTGGGGGTCCCTAGGTGACATTAGGGGTCTTGGAGACCCCTGATGTCTCCATAAAGAGGACCTGTCATGTAAATTGGCTATCACATAGGGAGCTTCTTAGCCCCCCATTTAATAGCAATAAAGTTGTGTGTGTAAAAAAAAAAGTAATACAAAAATTAAAGAATCTTAAAAAAAATAAAGAAGCATAGAAAAATTTAAAAAGAAAACATTTTTTAAAAGTCCCCGCCCCCCACATACACATGCAGATATTAGGGTGGATCCTTTCCACTGCAGGGTCCTATGGAGCCATCCTTGTGTGTAGTAGTAAGCTGTGTGTGTCTCCACAAACAAACAGGCACAGCAAGGCAAGACACTTTCCTCTTCCCCCCTTCCTTCTCCCTCCTGCCTTCTTTCTTCTCCGACCTAGTAGAAGCTGCAGACTGCTCTGTCCCTTGTGATCTTGTACTGGACAGGAAGTTCAGGGAAGTTGAGCTGAAAAAGTTGGAGCTGTTTGGAAGCATGACTAAGTCCTTGGACAAAAAGGTAACAAATACTGTGCTGGGCAATGCTTATTTGTCTGATCTGGATTCATTTTTTATAAAATGTTTGAGTTTAACCCTTTCGCTGCCAAGGACGTATGGCATACGGACCTACAAAAGTGCTTCCAGCTGGCCAGGTCAGTATGCCATACGGACCTGGCATTTACAACCACAAAGCACAGGCTTGCTTTAAGGTTAAGGCTTTAAAACTTCGGCTTTGTGGATAACTAAAACATTACAGAGAAGTCAGAGATCAGGAATTGAAATGCATCTTTAAATTATGTGTCCATCACTGGGCTAACTAGTTAATTGAGGCCACGTTCACTCGCAGACATGACTCTGATCATTATAATGCAAATTCTGAAAGCTGGCATAACTACAGCACATTCTCAAGTTCACTCCACGATCTTTGGCACTATCTACTTAGTTATGATAATTTACTGATATTATTTTTAGAAGCCTGCCTGGTACACAGTGTAATACAATGCATAATTATTGAGACCCAGCTCTAAAGAGGAGTTTTTATCATTCTTTGTAGAAAGAAGTTTCAGGCCCCATTCACACTTGGCGATTCGCAAATCGTGCGTTTGTTGCGCGATATCGCGCAAATGCTTGCATTGAAAAGCTTTGAATCGCGGCAAAATCCACTCCAAAAAGGGTCCTGCTGTAGCGACGCACGACCCACGACAGCAGGACCCTCTGCCCCATTGCCATGCATTGGAGAGCGATATCGCGCAGTAAATAGCCGCGATATCGCGGGAATTACCGCGCGATAAATCGCTCAGTGTGAACGGGGCCTTAAGCGGACCTTTACCCATATCTTTAAAATAACAACAAACACACCTTTAGAAATGTTTAGGAATGACAATCTACAAACTCATACTTCTAGATAATTGCCGGCTCTTTATTCTTTACATACATTATTTCTCTTTTCTTCTCCAGTCTTCTGACAGCGGGCATGTGTACTAAGGACAGATTACTAGCTCTCCTTTTACTTTCTGTATTTCTGGCACATGTGACTAGAACATGTGACCATGCCCATCATCTCAGGGGAGGAAAATGCATTTCCCTGAGATCTCCTGAGATTACAGATGAGATTTCCCAGCAATGCTCTGCTGATGACAAGGCGATCCCAGAGTGCATTGCTTTGGCGAACTGAAGTCCTTTTGACCTTTCAAATCAGGAAGTGAATGCTCTGCAAGTGTAAGTCTTTCAAAATCACAGCATTTTACACCTGACATGTCTATGTTATCATTAATCATCATACATAGAGGGATGCATTGGTAGAATTTGATTTTTGAGTGTGAAGGTCCGCTTTAAGTTACTAAGGACATAAAGGGTAGTTTAGAATTTAAAAAGGATCTGCCACATATGCCATGGCTTTGTTGGCAGCACTGCAAATCAAATCATGGCATTCTAAACAGACTGCCGACAAACACATTACTTTAGGGCTCGTTCAAACTAGCCCACTGAGTTTTAGTCTGCAGGCTGATGTGATGTGTGAGGTCTGAGTGTGGAAGCTGCATCACACTGCTTAGATTGTTTTAACTTTATTTGGAATGTTCTCCCTATCTTCTCTTTGGAGTGTTCTCCCTATTCTTTTAATAGTGGCCATTTTTACTAAGGGCAAATTAATCAAACTCCCTTTACTTCCTGAACAATGGCACATGTGTTTGGAAAATGCCTTTCCCTAAGATCTCACAACATTTTGCAGTTTCCAGATGAGCTTTCTCAGAAATGCACTGTGATGTAACCTTCCCAGGATGCATCCCTTAGGCATGGGCTACGTCACAAATGTCTAAGAGGGCCAGGAAGTGAAGAAACTATAATTGTAAGTAAAACTATTTATTTAAAGTGACACTAAACTCAGGAGTTAAACCTTAAAAATACATTCAAGTTTCTTAACTATTACCAAAAATGTATCTTCATCTCAGAATCCATATTGACACTGTCCTTCCTTCTGGAGGGTGGGTATTTTTGTTCCCCTTGGTCCCTGTGTGTGTTGTAATGTACTCACCGCTCCTAGCTCACTCCTGTGATGGACTACAATCTCACGTTTAGTTATCTAATTTGTATTGAGATTGTAGTCCATCACTTGGAGTGAACTTGGAGCGGTGGCTACTTCACAACACACACGGGGACCATGGGGAACAAAAGCAGGCACCCTCCAGAAGGAAGGACATTGTCAGCACCAATTCAGAGATGATTTGAGGTGCTACAGCTGAGTGATACACAAATAAGATAAATTTTTCTTAACCTCTTGCCGTCCGCCCGTAGTAAAAAAACGGACGGACGGCACTGCCCCCTAGCGGGCACGCACGGGCAGAAAAGACCCGACGATTAAACACACCCGTTAAAGGTACTTAAACGCATTTTTTAGATTTAACTCCTATATCAAAGGGGGTGAAGGACCAGTTTCAATATAATAATACAGAAGCTGCCCAAACCAATATATGAACCATCAGTCAAAGCTGAACTCCAGGCAGATGAAAAACATCACAATGTAATCCAGCTATGTATCAATTAAAATGAAGCACTTTTGCTGGACAGTTAGATACACATGTGCAAGGAGGATTTACCTACAGTGAATGTTTGGTGAATGACACATTTAATGATATATAAATATGCAAAGATTGCTGCGATTGGTGGAACATACACATGTTTTCCATTTTCCTTTTGGTGCCTGCAGCCACTTGTTTCAGGAATAAATTTAGTATTTAGTACTGGAAAAGATTAAAAAAAGCTTCGCTGACGTAGACCAGTGGTGATTGCACAATTAGACAAAAGTATTTTCCTGCTTGATATGGAAGAAAAGTCAACTGACAGGGATTTTCAGCCCTGGTGAGTACCCAATGCAGGAGCGGACCTACTAGCTGTGCAGTCGGTGCTTCTGCCCCAGGGCTCAAAGCTGGGGAGGGCCCACTGAGATCCGGTCCAAGATACTGTATAATTGAAGGGCTAGCGATTACTCAAATTTACCTCTCCCTTCTCCCGGTCACTGTAACTGCAGTGGCCAGGGAGGAGAAGAATCAATTCTACTGCATTTCTAACTGCTCGCTTCACTGATCGGGCTCCTCGGCGGCCACCTGCAGCTTCCTCCGCCCACTTCAGCTGCTATGGGCTGGGAGGAAAACTGCAGCACTACCACTGGCTGGCTGTATACTTCAGGAGAGAGGGTGAGGTGGGGGACAAGGAGGCGGCTGGAGGCTTCACCTCAGAACATGGAGGCAATATCGCTGCTCCCCCACCACCACCCGGAGAGGAAGAGGGCATTAGGGCAGAGCACCTGAATTAGGACATCAGATTAACTATGTGCATTTTAAGTCTGCGTGCTTTCTGCATCACACTGACCTCTGCACTCTGCGTTACATCACTGACTTCTCACCTCAGCATTACACTACTGACCTCTGCATTACACCTCTGTACTCTGCATCCCACCTTTTACCTCTTTACTCTGTGTTACATCACTGACGTCTGTACTCGGCGTTACACCGCTGACCTCTACACTCTGCATTACGCCACTGACCTCTGCACTGCACACCGCTGACCTCTGCACTGTGTGCCACATTGCTGACCCCTGCGTTTTTGCGTTACACCGCTGACCTCTGCACTCTGAGTTACACCGCTGACCTCTGCACTCTGAGTTACACCGCTGACCTCTGCACTCTGAGTTACACCACTGACCTCTGCCCTGTGCGCCACATTGCTGACCTTTGCACTTTGCATTACACAGCTGATCTCTGCACTCTGCGTTACACCGCTGACCTCTGCAGTCTGCGGTTCACCACTCACCTCTACACTCTGCATTACAACTGACCTCTGCACCTCCGCAATTAAATTTTCAAATTGGTCGCAGCTGCATTAGGTTTGTGCAGCAGCCTTCTGGGGAACCACATGGCGCCTGCTTACAGCGCTTCCGCTGCTTGCACATCTCCCCCTCCTAAGACCTTCCGCACTCCTTCTGAGACCCTCTCCCTGAGCTTGCAGGGCGGCAGCACAGACTCTGTACCAAATTCATATACAATTATTCTGCATTGCACTGTATAATGTATTGCTGGGATTTGTAGTGCTCTATGGCTGATGGTATTCTGCATTAGAGCCTGTTCACACGACATCTGTATTCTGTGCTGACCTGATCTGTACGCTCCTGCACTAAATATGCATCCCAATGTATCCCTATGTGTTTTATGGGCTACAGTTCTCACATGCGCAGTCCGTTCTGTTCCTGACTGAAAAAATAATGCATGTCACATTTTGTCCGGTCAGGAAACGCACGAACGCGTCAAAAACGCAACGAAAACGGAACGAAATGCAGCTAAGCAAAAAAACATTTAAAAATGCATTCTTGCTCCACTTTTTATGATGTCATCATCGTTGGACTTTCTGGTTGTGGTGGAGCATCAGAGGGAAAACCAGCAGTCATGACTAACATGGTCCTGGACATTGAGCAATTCGTCGGATTGATGGAGCATGCGTCCAAATAAAGTTTGTCATATGTGGGGGTTAATATGCTGCATGTAGAACTGTCAGCATCCGGACCGAAAACGCATCAAAAACACATTGCATGAGTAGCACCGCGTCTGCAGATCCGCACCTGATCAGGACCTGAAAATCATGTGAACAGGCCCTTAGAGTGTAAGCTCCTCTGTACAGAGACTGATGTGACTGGCTCAGTGTTCTCTGTACAGCACTACTGTATATGGCAGAGCTATATAATTGTATAAAAATAATAGTGTGTGACTGTGGGGGGGACGTTAGAGTGTAAGCTCCTTTAGTGCAAAGGGTAAAGGGCCAGTGAGATCTGGTCCTGGCACCCCCACCCTTTGGAGCAAAGGTATGGGGGGCCCGAGAAAAAACCTTGCTCCAGGGCCCTTTGTTCTTTAGGCCCACCACTGACCCAATGCCAATCATTTGTCCCATCTACCAAATATCATTCCACACTACATACATTGTGTGATACAAATGAAAAGAGTCAGTCTAGCATGATTAACAGGGATGCAAGCAGAGGTTCCAATCCTCAAATTTGAAAAAGAGAGAAAATATTGTTTGTGTAGAAATAGCCTCATCAGGAATGGTTTAACTGGTTACTGGTTGCAAATTAGATCAAAGGTTACCAGATTTTCAAAATAAAATGCAGGGATACTCTACTGACCACACCCACTTGTATCCACACCCACAAACCACACCCCATTTTTAACAGGTCCCCAAACTATTTTTCACAAACGTTCGGAAGAGGCAGACATTAAACATATAAAGACAAAATAAACCCAGTTTAAATGAGAGGCACCATGATATGCATGCATAGGTAGGTGGGACACCTTGAAGATATCAAGAAAAATAAAGCAGCAAAAACCTAGAGGTGTACCTTCATAGTATTATGGCTTGTTGTGAGGTTGTAAAATTAATCCCAGCACTGGTGTCATTGACATTAATAGTAGCCACAATGGCAGCCTTTGTGTGTTCTTTCTGCCCCCCCATTACCTTGCATCCCCCAGGGCACCTCCCCCCATATACCCATGCACTTTGCATTACACAGCTGATCTCTGCACTCTGCGTTACACCGCTGACCTCTGCAGTCTGCGGTTCACCACTCACCTCTACACTCTGCATTACAACTGACCTCTGCACCTCCGCAATTAAATTTTCAAATTGGTCGCAGCTGCATTAGGTTTGTGCAGCAGCCTTCTGGGGAACCACATGGCGCCTGCTTACAGCGCTTCCGCTGCTTGCACATCTCCCCCTCCTAAGACCTTCCGCACTCCTTCTGAGACCCTCTCCCTGAGCTTGCAGGGCGGCAGCACAGACTCTGTACCAAATTCATATACAATTATTCTGCATTGCACTGTATAATGTATTGCTGGGATTTGTAGTGCTCTATGGCTGATGGTATTCTGCATTAGAGCCTGTTCACACGACATCTGTATTCTGTGCTGACCTGATCTGTACGCTCCTGCACTAAATATGCATCCCAATGTATCCCTATGTGTTTTATGGGCTACAGTTCTCACATGCGCAGTCCGTTCTGTTCCTGACTGAAAAAATAATGCATGTCACATTTTGTCCGGTCAGGAAACGCACGAACGCGTCAAAAACGCAACGAAAACGGAACGAAATGCAGCTAAGCAAAAAAACATTTAAAAATGCATTCTTGCTCCACTTTTTATGATGTCATCATCGTTGGACTTTCTGGTTGTGGTGGAGCATCAGAGGGAAAACCAGCAGTCAT